TTTATGTATACAGGGGGGACAATGCTACTTCATAGCATGGTTATAAGTATTGAAGGAGTTAATGTTTTTATAGCATTTAGAACAGTGCCAGACACAATGGTAAGCCCTGAAGTACATAGAATCTACATAGGAGTTAATAGGGACATAATCTTATCTAGAAAAAAGATGGTTGAAAAATCACAAAATGAGGCCTTGAACGCTGGATAAGGAATGCCTGGTGGTGTTGAGCTAGGTTTGTGAGTAGAAGGCATTGAATGAATGGTATATCTATATGAATGTAATAGTTGGAAGCCTGACGATCTCTTGACCAGAAACCTGAGCTTAAATCTATTATTCAAAGCCTTGATTTATTCACTGTTGCTTCAGATTCAAAACATTGGTTTTCACGGGCATTTCAGTCTAATGCAATGTCAGTTAATTAGGTCTCAAGTAAAACAGCTGCCACCAGAGAGTTTACATTACCATAACTTGCATTTGAAAAAGTCAAAATTTTCAAGATATGGTTAGTTCCAAAGTACATTTTTTGATAAACCAGCTTGGATACTGCATTGTGTATAACAAGGTTAAATAAAGGTTCTAATAAGACAAACAGCGACAATTTAAATAAATCAGATGTTTTTGTCGAAGATTACTCTGTGATTTTCTCCAATTATTCATGACATTTCACCCACTCATATTGTGATCTGCTTTAATAGTGGAAGGAAAAAAAAAACCCTTGTCTCCTTGTTTATTCTTTGTTCTCAAGGAGATAAGCTGTTTATAAAGATGTTATTTGTTATTTAAATCACTTTTACTGAAGTTGTTTATTTCCTCGTTTCAGTTTCTAAAAATATTGCAACAATTGTAATGCTTCTTAGAGATGTCTATTCAATCTAGAGTGATTTGTACTGAAATTCTTTGCTAAATGGGCACAGGTGCTGATGTGTATAACATGCTAGAGTGAGTTAAACCTAATAAATGTTTTTTTAAAAATATATTTTTATTGATTTCAGAGAGAAAGGGAGAGGGAGAGAGAGAGATAGAAACATCAATGATGAGAGAGAATCATTGATCCGCTGCCTCCTGCATGCCCCACACTGGGGATCTAGCCTGAGCCTGCAAACCGGGCATGCACCCTGATCTGGAATTGAACTGTGACCTCTTGGTTGATAGGCTGATGTTGAGCCACTGAGCCAAGCTGGCAGAGCCTAATAAACCTTTTTTAAAGAAGATAACAGGAATATACTTGTCAACTTTTGAAATCTGTGATTAAAAATATTTTTGACCTTACGTCTAATATTTGTAAAGGTCTACCTTTATACCTGCCAATTAATAAGAATTTAATAGTAGTAATAATAATAAATTAGATAACACCAAAACTATAAGCAGAAAAATTGCATAATTTGCATCCAGAAATTTATTTCTTAGAAAATGCCCTTTAATCACTTTGCAGACTTTCAAGATCATAATTATTACATAAAGCTAATTACATTAAAAGATAATTTACCTCATAGTAAAGTATCAAATTAAAGATGAAAAACAGTACTTGTAAACAGAATTATAGTTTTAAAAACATCACTGAACAGCAAAACAAGAAATTAAATTTACAGCTTCTCTCTTTACTATGCATCAAATTACCTACAGAATAAATTTTGGTAATTTGATACTATAAAGCTACATAGTAGTATAGCCTACAGCTCTATATTACATGTCTTGCATATCAATCTATAAATCTAAACTATACTTATCCTAGGTAACCAACAGAATCGTTGTGTGAAATAAAGCCAAGAGGATTTGGTATTGTAAGGGACAGTTGATTATTTCCAAGAACTAAAGCTTCAAAACCCAGCTGAGTTGATTTGAACTAAAGAAATGAAGCCTGGTACCATAGATTATAGCATGTATCCCTGCTGAGTAAGCCCTGGATACTGCAAACTCAGATCTGTGGGTGACCATCTCTCCCTTTGAAGTTGATGAGAATTTCTTGGCCTAAGTGAGATACATGCTGAGAAAATTGGGCCCTTACAATTGGTGTGTGTAGACATTAGTGGTCTCAACACTGTTATCATCTGGTCCGTTAGTTTTATCCAGGCTTGGTTTTTGCAGAAGACATTCAACTTTGTAATAAATCCTCCTTGAGTGAGATATGCCCCATGACTAAAAGGTATTCAGGTTTTATCATCTAGAGATTCTAGATTGAGACCTGCTCTGTTACTAGTAAACTTGGGTAAATAAAACTCATCTTGATTTAAAACTTATTCAAGTAATTTCCCAAGGTGTCCATTAGAAAACAAACACAACACAACACCCAGCTTATTCCTTTGAGGTCTAGGCCAAATCATGGCTAATTATGAGCATAGGCAACCGGTACAAGTACTAACACTTGTAAACAAATGAGTTCATATAGTTTTATCATTCCATCTTTGAGTTTTGAAGATGGGCTGCATTTTAGGCCATCGTTAGTTCCTCAGAAAAAGCAGTCTGTAGAACTAAAAAATATTCAGCCTATTTGACTGCCTAGATGCACTGCGTCTAACCAACAAAACTAGGTTGCTTATGACCATCACTCAGTGATAATTAAAATTCTATGTGGCACGGTCCACTTTTTGTCTAGATATACAATTGATTTAAGGGCCATTTAAAGAACTATCTCATTGAATAAACAAGCTTTCAGTCCTGTAACTGTTCAGTTAATTTTAAGAAGGGGTAGTAGCTGTGCTACCTTGGGAAGTTACTTTATCGCTCAGAATCATTGAGTCTTAATATGCAAACTGCTGCGTTAAAATCAGAAGATCTTTAAGGTCCCTTGAGGATCTACACGTAATTTTTTTGGTGCCAGTTCAAGATGGTGATGTAGGAAGATCCTGAACTCACCTCCTCTCATGTTCTACGTATAGAACAATTTGCTGTAAAAATGATTTCTCTTACTAAGTCTGGATATCCATCTACATGAAGTTTATTTTTCTTTTATAATAATGAATATTAAAAACATGTGCAACATTAAACCTGGAACATCATTGGAGTTGCTCTGCAAATATTAAAATTCAATTGCTAGGTTTTATAATTATTTACATTAAAGTGATTATTTCTCTAATTAAAAAAATTATGAGAACACAGGAAATACATGAGAGAGGAAATGGGATCATTTTTCCAGTTTTCTCAGAATAATACATATGGAGGTTCATGAACTCAAATGAGCTACTCAGTAAATCACCGGCAACATTTGAGTGATATGAGATAGTAAGGATGATAGGAGCCAGATCTTGATTTTCTAAAGGTCCATAATAAAGAAATTCTGTAGACAGTGGGCAGGCATTGCAAGTTTAGATCACATTTTTAGGTCACATTTTTAAAGACAACTTTGACAGCAGGATAGAGCCAGGAGAAAGAGACAGAACCAGTTAGGAGATGACTGCATTAGCCTAAGAAAGACAGGAGGAGGAAGATCCAATTGTAGATGAATTAAAGCCATATTAAGAAGATAAATTTAATCATATCTGGTACAGGGTTGGATCTGAGTGAGGAGGAAAATAAATTAATTGAAGATGGCTCCAAGATTTCAAATTTGCATGTGGAGTTGGGACAGTTAGAATTAGTTGGGGGTTACTGCTATTTTTAAAAGAAAGATGGCAGAAAGGTCATGTGGAGAAATTATATGAGAAAAGTCTCTCCTCCCCCTTCAACATTTGGGCAAGTGGTATTTATGAAGGAAATATGTAGGTAAATACATACACATTATCATTGGGTTAAACATTTTTTTAAAAAGCATAGCCTGCTGTAGCTGGTTTGGCTCAGTGGATAGAGTGTAGGCCTGAGGACTGAAGGGTCCTGCGTTTGATTCCAGTCAAGGGTGCATGCCCAGAATGTGGGCTCAATACCCAGTAGGTATTCTCTCTCATCATTGATGTTTCTATCTCTCCATCTGAAATCAATAAAAATATATCTTAAAAAAATTTAAAAAGCATATGCTCATAAAGGATATTCAAAGCTGGAAAACAAAAAGAACCAGTTATTTTTAAGCTGTTGTAGAAAATAAGTAGAAAGAAACTAAATAAAGATTTAAGCATTCAACTTGACTTCAAATATTGCCTTTAGCCAGTCTCTAGTTACAAGTTAGACAATGTTTCAGTAGAGGAAAAATGGTAACATTTGTTGGAAGGTTGACGAATATATAATTCTTACTTAAGGAGGGCTCCATCAATGTTTCTCTCTCCCTTTCTCTTTCTAAGCATGTTTTCTGATAAGGATTAAAAACAAAAAAGCTTCTAGTAGGCCTTCCAGATTTTCCAAAGTGCTTCTTCATTGATTTCACAGCACTTGGTAGAATCTTTTGTCTTTTTCTTTTCCCCTCCTACTGGATTGCCAGCCTCTTCTGGGCAGCAATTTGTATTCCCAATACACTTATCATAGTATCTCAAAACATTTTTGTTAAATAAAATTAGGGCAGATCACTTAGAAATTCATTTTTGGATACCCTAACCCATGGCCACTCCCTTAACTCACTGTCCATCTCAGGCCCTTGGCTTTCTCATGTCACTTGTTAATTCTTTCAAAACATTTGAGCATATGTCATTTTGAAAAAGATTTATGCTAATCTAATACAGAAAATAAAAATGGTAAGAAAACGCTTCGGATATCCTGCCAAAGATGAACTGGGCGCTAGAGGCAAAAAAAAAAAAAAATTGGGGCTACCACTGAGTCACCCACGTTTTATTTAGGTTTCGGAATCTGGCTAGAGTAGGCTAATTGGAAAAGGTTCAGGAGTGGTATACGTCGTACTCCAGCTCCAATTCCATGAAAACATTCCGGGCTCCTCTGCACCCAGCGCCG